TGTGTGTGTAAGCAATACTGATAGAAACATGAGAAGTATGAGTTGAACTAGACTGGATCATTTATGATATTTACCTTAAGCTGAGGTAAAGACATGGAGCAGGATTGGCTAGCATAAGCTAGCTAAAATATATTTAATAAAAAAAGGACACCCTGTGTTGCTCATTAGCAAAAGACAAACAAAATAAAAATCCCCTTTACACTATTTGAGTTTTTCAAATTTATATAAAAAATTTAAATGTTTCTCCACATTTTACCATAAAAGAAAATATAAAAGCAGACATACACACTCCACACCACTAGGTGGCAGGACCATCAAAAATAACATGAAATACAGAGAAAAACCAAAAACACGATTAGTTTGACTAAATACATATAGAAAACGTGGTTTTAATATTTTTTATAGTTTTCTTTAATATGCCACAGATGCAGACAAACTGTTAAAAACGACTCCATTGTTGTTTTGGTTTCTAGGAGAGAGTGTGATAATGAACATGAAAATCRGTTTATTTCTGAAGAGCTCACAGTGAATTTGGATGGTTTTATTCCCAAGAAAGTACCACGAGTACACAAAGAGTGTCAAACTGTATTTAACTTCATTTTAAAACTTCTTAGTTAATCATAGATCTWGTTTTACCTGCACTTTACACACAAGTTATATTCTCATAAAGGAAAAATCAACTTGACTTTCAACCAAAACAAGATAGGTCTAATGTCTAACGTCCTTTGAAATATTATTTGATCAATTAGTTTTCTAATTGTTTTGATTTTGCTACTGGTGTGATCAGTTTTAGGCATTAAAAATACCTGTCAAGACATCACCTAGGTTTTGGAAATTGCAAGTGCCATTTCCTTTGCGTTCTTACTGGAATAAATTAATTTTGACCCTTTCAGTGAAGCAGATGTGTTGTCAGCAACAGGACCCATCACCCTGGAAACCAAGCCGTCTGCTGCAACAATGAGACGAGATAAACAGAAATTTGTGGCATACTTCAGTCAACGAAGGACAAGCTTTCGCTTTTGTGTGGCACCAGTACAGATTTTTAACGCATCATGTCATTCCACTAGAAGTTATTCTCATTCCTCACATTTCTGTCAGATCAGGGTCTTAAAAAACATTACAAAATGCCATTCTTCAATCAAAATCTGGTGATTTATTYCACCATTAACTTCTTGATGTAAAATTTCATATCTGTTGACTTCAAAAATGYGAAAGGTGCAACCTCAGCAGCCTATATCAGTGTTGTCATGTGGTCTATTTTTTTTTTTTTGGCTTATGGACAGTTACATCTATACATAGAAGTGGGAATTTCTGAGATCCTAGTAGGAAAAGTCAAATGGAATGCCACCCAAATGGGAATTYGAACTTGGAAAGTTGAACCTCCTCAAAATCCAATATGGCTGCCTCATGCATGAAAAGCTGCAATYGCTTTGATATCAAACCTTTTATTTTCACTTCTGTCATGTGTCTTTTTAAACCAGTTGTACACAAGATCAGTGTTCGAATGAATAAAAATAAAGATAAATACATTGTTGTTGTATTATATACGCAGATAATATATTTAATAATAACAAACAACCAGTTGGATTTCATAATGTTCAGTAAGGCTGACTAAACTAAACAAAAATGAATAAAATGTGTTTGGTAGATTATTTCTTTKTTGTAACAATGCTTCTTGGTAATAAATCTTATACCAAGCACCTGACTGGCAGTACAAGGAGGTACCAGAAGCTGTTTCATGTGCACAACCCATATACTCAGCTTTACTGTTCATCCCACAAATGCACGTTCCTTACAAATGTGGTACCATTTAAAAGGGGAAATTAACAGGCTTTTCAACGGTACAGCCTAGAAACATTGTTACAACACAGCAATATTCTGCCAAACACATATTTCCGTACTTTTTGCTCAAAGTTTAGTTAGTTACCACAGTTACTTACAAAATCTGCATAGTTGTCCGACTTGTAACCGAAAAARCAATGAAGTTCTAAACCTGAGTTCTAATTTATGAAATCAGCCATCTGTGGTACCACTTCCCATTATAAAGTTAAACAAAACGATCTTAAGTTTAACTAAACACTTGTGTGGAACTAACATCCCAACAACTCTAGAAACAGATTTGGACAGTTTCAAAGAACACTGTTCTTTAAACACAAAACTAAAATTAATAACATTTAACTTAAAGACAGTCCGGTGTAGGTTTTGATGTGTTTTTTCCAAACAAGAATAAAACTTGTAAACTGACAATGAAGCAACTGATTTAACCCACCACCTACCATTTCATGGTCGGACTAYACCAAACAAGAAAGCTTAACAAAATAACGTTGGTTTGTACATACAAACATTGCACTGASACCCATTTTATACCTTTGGCACATAGAATAAGCCAGTAAACAATAACAGGTATGACATACAGTACAATGAGGAACATCCTAAGGCACCAAGATGTAGTAGATATACTTAAAAAAGACTAAATACYTTTTTGCCTTTAAGTTCTTGCCATTGTTAATAATAAAAAATACCATTAGAGTACATAAACACTTCAACAGATTGCATAGCAATGGGTTATATTACTGCAAATCCCTCCTCTTCCTCATTAAAGCAAAGCTTTCTGATCAGATGTAGCTGAGCCTCATTTAACCACTGTACCAGGCTCTAAAACTGGACACAGTGTGTGTGTGTGTGTGTGTGTGTGTGTGTGTGTGTGTGTATACATGTGTCTGTGTGTGTCTAATTTACATAGATGCAATCCCACCTTGCTTATACCACGCATTTTTACACATACCAGATAAAAAAAGAGCCTACAGTATTCCAGTCAGCGTTATGAGGATGATAAAGTCCATAATACATTCTAAATCTGCAATCCCACGCCGCGTTTACASCCCGCATATTACTTCCTGTTTACCATCAGATACTCAAAGCATGTGATGCGTACAGTCAGCCAGCCAGGCAGGCAGTCAGTGGTTCAGACCAAAGTGGTTTGGCCTAGTGGGGAGCTGCGGGGCGGACAATGGCCACACTGTGTGAGTGAAGTGCCTTTGGTGTCTGTGATTCTGCCAGCAACTGAGACTGGCTGATCCAAAATGGCGGCGAGCAGCGAGAGCCCTGCTGGTGACAGTCATGGTTTAAACATGGAGGGGTGGGGTGGCATTTTTGATCCGGTTTGGACGCAGAGCTGGTGCAGCTGTGCCTAATCCATTGGCATTGTGTTGCATTTCAGAAGGAGGTGAAGGGTACGAGGAGAAGTGGGGGAGGCAGGAGAGCAGGCTGGTGGGAGAAGTTCAGATAAAGTCTCTTTTGTCTTCTGGGTCCTTGAATTCCAGTTTGCCTCACTGATATGTGGATCAGGGATGTCTGACGTTACACTGTGATTTCCAAAAAGAAAGAATGTTGTCAACAAAACCACACAGATTCATGTATTTTTTTAACAGTGATATAAAAATATTTACCAACATGAGCAACAAGTCTGAAAAGAGCAACAACAACAACAACAACAAAAGACGGAATCAAACTCACTGAGATGGAAGTCACACCGCTGTGGAGGGAGACTGACTCTGGGGGAGGAAAGAAACGGTTYATTTTAAAAGTCCCGTACGGTTAAAAGTGCATTCACACCATAAAAGCGTGAGCATGTGGAAACCCTGGACCTGTTGCTGGATGTGAGCATATCGCTGCCTGCGTGTTTGCCCTTATCTGTTCAGGCTGCAATGTGTCCGTCTGTCTGTCAATCTGTTCCCAGCACCGTCTGTTTGCCAATCTGTCAGATTCTGTTTGCTACATAAAGAGACTGAGGGAATGTGTGTTTGTGAGTGTGTGTGTACCTGGTTTTTGTTACCTTTTTAGGACTCTTTCTGGTATAAACACCTACCTTGTCTAAACCAGAGGTCATTTTGGGGACCAAAGACCACTGAACGCCACTGATGGGTTAGGGGTTAGGTTTAAGGTGTGAACTGAGAGTGGGTCAGGCTGAAAGGAAGTCAATGCACAGTCCTAATAAGGATAGAAATACAAACGTGTSYCTGTGTGTATTCAGACAACATGTGAAAGCAAATAGTGAAAATTTATTCACTGGTGGTTCGGAACTGTTTGCTTGCAGCTAAAGAGAAGCTTCATGTCGCTTCAGGAACATAAGGGAAATGTTTTGTTTTTTCTTGGTTGTTTGAGGGCCACCTTTTATTGTAGAAATCACCTCAGGGAGACGGTATTAGTTTTCATAATGTCACCACTAATTGGACATATGTTAGATGCAAATGGTTGACATTTTCATCTCAACCCCAAACTTTKTTTGAGTAAACAAACAGTTTTATCCAAATAGTCTCAGGAACCAAGAAGTTTCCTGGACTACAAGTATAAGAAGGGTTGAGGTGAATAGTCAGGACCTTTAGAGAAGAGCCTGAGTGGACTAAATTATTTAAAATAAATCATGATAGAAACGATCTTATTTAAATGTTTCTTATAAAATAATGGAAAATAGTCCGGTATTTCATCGCTAAGTGTGATTGTGGTTGCTTTGTATTGCAAAGGACATAATCAAACCTTCAGTCATGGGGTCTGAATCAAACCATAAAAATGAGATCTTGGATGAAAAACGGTTGAAATGAGCTTTGTTCGTAGGGTGGTCGGGCTCAGAGATAGGGCGAGGAACAACTCATTTCTTTTGCATGAAAAGGATTCAGCTGAAGTCCGTTCGTTTGTTTTCTTCCTCTTATCAGGGGTCGGGTCATAGGGGCAGCAGCCTAAGTAGAGAGACCCAGACTTCCCTCTCCCCAGTCACTTGGGCCAGCTCATCTGTGGGAATCCCAAGGCATTCCCAGGCCAGCTGAGAAACATAGTCCCTCCGACTAGTCCTGTGTCTTCCCATGGGCCTCCTCCCAGTAGGACATGCCCAGAACACCTCACCAGGGAGGCGTTCAGGAGGCATCCTTACCAGATGCCCGAGCTGAGGTGGTTCATCTAATTATGATGGTGCCCTTTGGAGATTTTCTGGACATGTCCCTCGGGGAAGAAACCCAGGGGCAGACCCAGAATTCCCTGGTGGAGTACAGTGGTTTGCAAAAGTATTCATACCCCTTGAACTTTTCCATATTTTGTCACATTACAACCACAAACATAAATATATTTCACTGGAATTTAATGTGAAAGACCAACACAAAGTGGTATACAATTGTGAAGTGGAAGCAAAATTTTACATGAATCAAAACATTTTTTACAAATAAAAAACTGAAAAGTGCGACGTGCAAAAGTATTCAGCCCCCTTTTCCCTGAGTGCAACCAATTGCGTTCAGAAGTTGCCTGATGACTGCTAATGACTCAAAAGGGTCCACCTGTGTGTAATCTAATCYCAGTACAAATACAGCTGCTCCGTGACGGCCTCAGATGTTGGTTAAGAGAATATTGGGGAGCAAACAGCATCATGAAGTCCAAAGAACACACCAGACAGGTTAGGAATATGGTTTTGGAGAAGTTTAAAGCAGGCTTAGGTTATAAAAAGATTTCCCAAGCTTYGAACATCTCACGGAGCACTGTTCAATCCATCATCCGGAAATGGAAAGAGTATGGCACCACAGTAAACCTGCCAAGACAAGGCCGTCCACCTAAACTTACAGGCCGAACAAGGAGATCACTGATCAGAGAGGCAGCCAAGAGGCCCATGGTGACTCTGGATGAAATGCAGAGAGCCACAGCTCAGGTGGGGGAAACTGTCCACAGGACAACAATTAGTCGTGCACTACACAAATGTGGTCTTTATGGAAGAGTGGCAAGGAGAAAGCCATTGTTAAAAGAAAACCATAAGAAGTCCCGTTTACAGTTTGCCAGAAGCCATGTTGAGGACACAGCAAACATGTGGAAGAAGGTGCTTTGGTCAGACGAGACCAAAATTGAACTTTTTGGCCACAATGCAAAACGCTATGTGTGGCGGAGAAAGAACACTGCACATCACTCTGAAAACACCATCCCCACTGTCAAATATGGTGGTGGCAGCATCATGCTCTGGGGGTGCTTCTCTTCAGCAGGGACCGGGAAGTTGGTCAAAGTTGATGGGAAGATGGATGGAGCCAAATACAGGGCAATCTTGGAAGAAAACCTGTTGGAGTCWGCAAAAGATTTGAGACTGGGGCGGAGGTTCACCTTCCAGCAGGACAACGACCCTAAACATAAAGCCAAAGCTACAATGGAGTGGTTTAAAAAAAAGAATATTCATGTGTTAGAATGGCCCAGTCAAAGTCCAGACCTAAACCCAATTGAGAATTTGTGGCAAGATCTCAAAACTGCTGTTCACAAACGCTCTCCATCCAATCTGACTGAGCTTGAGCTGTTTTGCAAGGAGGAATGGGCAAGAATTGCAGTCACTAGATATGCAAAGCTGGTGGAGACATACCCTAAAAGACTTGCAGCTGTAATTGCAGCAAAAGGTGGCTCCACAAAGTATTGACTCAGGGGGGCTGAATAMTTTTGCACATCGCACTTTTCAGTTTTTTATTTGTAAAAAATGTTTTGATTCATGTAAAATTTTGCTTCCACTTCACAATTGTATACCACTTTGTGTTGGTCTTTCACATTAAATTCCAGTGAAATATATTTATGTTTGTGGTTGTAATGTGACAAAATATGGAAAAGTTCAAGGGGTATGAATACTTTTGCAAACCACTGTATATATCCTCTTTAGAACAACTTGGGATCTTCCAGAAAGACCTGGGAGTGTTGCAGAGGAGAGGAATGTCTAGATTTCCATCTGAATTTGTTGCCTCTACAACCCAGCCATGGATAAGCAACATATATTCAATGGATTGAAGTGAATATCAACAGTGAGTGAAACAGTTAAACTGTTGGTTTGTTTTGTTGCTGTGGTTTCATTACAATGTTGTACCCCAATGGTTCAATTCATCTGTTTTTGACTCTCAAAATAAAAGGTGCAAAGACCCACAGCTGTGATTATTGCTGTTTGAAGAATTTAGACATTGCCAGAGTCTTGTCAACTATTATAGAKTGTTGTATTTGTTTTGGCTACTGGTAATATGTAAACATGTTAAAGGTAATTTAGATCTTCTCAAGACCTCTCAGGTGTTTCACAACCTATGGTGGGGTCCAAACCCCAACTTTGGGAACCATTGCTATTGCTAACCATTGTTGTTGAGTGGTTCCAAAACTTTTTTGGAATCGTGTATATCCTGAGCCCAACATATCTCAGTTCTATTTTAATTTGTTTTTTTACACACCTGGGAAATTTTTCCATGTACCCCGGTTGGGAATCACTGCCATAGTTTACTGATCCTGAATGATCCAATTTATCTTTTATCTTAAGTTAAATCGTAGTCTTTTTTTTTATCAATCTTCCAAAATCCTGACAAAGCAAACCCTTGTTATAGGTATCATTGTGTTCTGTCCACAGTTTGTCATCCTGATGACAAAGTTTACAGGAAGCAACAGTTTGGAGGTTTTCCATTGACCATGTTTGACTTCTAAAACTTGGACCCTGATAGATCTTGACCTGTATTAGACCTCCATCACAAACCTTTTAGGAGATGCAGTAAAGCTTAATAACCGTTTTGAACATTGAAAAAACAGGTCCCGCTAAAAAATGTTCAGGGTCATGATACGATGTTTCATTTTTTTCCCACTTTCTGACTATTTATAACCATCCAAAGTGTTATGTAATTTCTGTGAGAAAAGCCTGCTTTCGTACACATTGGGTTTATTAGTG